CAACTTGTGGTCCACTAGGACTCCTAGATCCTTTTCACACATATAAGTCACGTTAAGCCAGGTTCCCCCATCTTATATCTATGCATTTCATGTTTTTGCCCTAAGTGCAGCACCTGACATTTCTCTGTCATGGCACTGCATTCAGGGAGGTTACAAGTCCAAAGAATACAGTGCCAGAGCCAAGTGCTTGAGGACAAGGGGTCTTGGAGGAGACTCTTTCATGGGGTCGCCATGAGTCAAGATGGACGTGAAAGCAGTTAACAACAAGAAGGCATGAACAATTTTTCAGTGTCTCGCTCTGTACAATGCTAGAAGTTTGGGGGTTGAAGGAAAATTTTATGGAGGGGGCAGAATAATTGATTTTTATCCCGGCCCTCTGTGTACCTAACTATACCCTTTCCCTCTGGAAAGAGCTTCCCCTGTTTTAAAAGGGCCATTGCAGTAAGCTGAAGTGATCCAGTTTGGCCCTTAGCCCTGCAAAAGTCAATTGCTGAAACGTTTTGTGGGTATCCTTTTCTTTTCTGAAACAACGCGATCTGCGCCTTCAGCAAAAGGAGACAGAAGTCAGGCACCGACAGCAGAAGGGAGAATAAATGAAAGTGAGGACGGACGTCAACATTAACATCCCTGTTTACCTGGGCACCAATCCAAGAGGCAATTTGAGATACACCCTGTGGCTTTTGGAGTTTACTTTTAGGAAGGGCTGCGAATATGACCGAAGTCTTGGAACACACGCTTTACAAGCTAGAATAGAATAGAATAGAATAGAACAGAAGGAGGTTTCAGTCCTCAACCATGACAAAATGCGCAGGATTTTGCAGCTTGGAAGAGAGTGTCAGGATGAGGGACACTGCCAGTCAGAGTAGACAATATGTTCTCAATGGAGCTAAGGCCAGATCCCATTGGTTAGCCTCTAATAGAGCAGATCCATTGAATCAACTATTGAACAATGGGTCAAAATGTAGATAAATCCAAATGATTCAATGGGTCTGCTGTAATGAGCAAGCACCAGTGTGTGGTGTAGTAGTTTGAGTGTTGGACTAAGATTCTGGAAGACCAGGGTCCAAATCTCTGCTCTGCCATGGAACCCCACATGACCATCCAATGCAAGGGTGGTAAAGCACTTTTTAAAATTAAACTTTATTAAACGATAGCAATATAATCATTACTGATACAGAGTCATATTTTCTTTTTACAGACAGCAT